CCTCTCTGAGGTTCTAATGACCTTCAGAAATTCTGATGTCAGAGCCAGCCAAAATGTAAACTACCATTTGTGTTAAGCTTCTCAGAGTTTTGTTACCTGTAATCCCCCTTTGTATAAGTTTCTGGGCTTTAAGGCTGGAGGAAAGCTACTGCTGCTGTCTCTTATTCCTGTGGTTTTAGGTGGGAGACGCAGCCTGGCTGGTCAAAATATAAGCTTGTTTTAATTTGATTTTAATTGGAGTCAATGGTCTTTTCTTGCACCCTGGTCTAAAATTTTGGAGGCCCCAGCAAGATGAGCCTGCCAGACCACAACACAAGACTAGACTGCTGGTAATTCTAAAGCCGGTTTTCCCTCTAGGGCTCTGGGCTGAAGAGCCACTCTAGGGGGTGTGCACCTTGAGATGTTCCAAGGCCTCAGAGTGAGCCTCAGTCCCTGGAGCACTGCAGTGAACTGTCTCACTAAAACTATCAGCAAGCACCTGGTGGAGGAGGCCTCTATAGGTAAGTGCCACCTTTATAACATCTGGTATCCAGTTAAGGGAGATCTCTTCTGAAGACAGAGAGATGGCCTGGCAAGGCTCACATATACTCCTGTCCAGGACATTAACGAGAAATTGTTCTGTCCTCTGTTCTGTTCTGTAGGGAATTCCTCTGGAAGGGTAGAGAGGTGCCAATGGGCATGCACATGCTCCTACTCTGGGAGCTTTAGCAAGATGTTGCATTGGTCCTCTGTTCTTCTGTTTCAGCACCGGGTTTCTGTTTTCTTGTGTTTAGTTCTGTGTTCTATATGTTTTTTGTTTGTTTGTTTTTGTGCCTTTTGTTGTGTGACTTCTGTGGTAAAAACTTAAGGATATTGGACATGAAAATGGATAATAAAGCAAGTAAGCCTGACACACCTTTGGACTGTGTTTTAAGAAACTATAATGATGAACTTTACCCCTCTTTGTTAAGCAGGATGAGAGAAGCCCCTAGCTGGCTGCCTGGAGCACACCCACTGCAGAGGGCAATGCCTGCAGGGGATCTAAGAACTGAGTATCTCCCAGATTAATCAGTGAAACTCCTATAAAACCCCTTGCCCTCCAGATCAAGAGAGTCACAACCTCTGGGGCAGAGTCCCCTGTGTTTCTCCTTTGTTAGCAAAGCAATAAAACTCCCTTTTTCTTTTTCTCAAAACCCGGTTCTCGTTATTAAATTGGAATTAATTGGCTTCAAGGTCAGGAATGGAACTTTCAGTTACAAATTTTGACACCTCAGAGGGAACTCTAAAGGAGCCCCAGGGAAATTTTTGAGAGCTGACTACTGAAATGTTAGGAGATATGGAGCATGCCTGGGGTGGAACCGAACCAGAGGAGATAATCCTGTAAGTAAAAGGAGGGAATGAGGGACTCCCAGCAGCTGCCTAAGCCCTGTTGCTTCAGGGAATTCCTGCCTTTTTTCCCTACACTGTAAGGATTATGCCACCTCTGTCTACTTAAAAAAAAAAAGAGAAAAAGAAAAAGGGGACACTAAATGCAGTAAAGTTGACAACAAGACCCTTGATTTTACATTTCAGGTTGCCCTTCTGTGAAAACATCTGGTCCCCTTGTGGGGACATCTATGGTGCCACTGGTGTAGGAGATTTTTCTCTTATCTGCTCTGATTTAAAGGTTTCTGTCTGTCAGCCATAGTCTGGAGCTCCTTTCTGTCTGTCTGTCCTGTGTCTTTGTTTCTGGCTCCATAAGACATGTGCAATAATATATTGATATTATAAATTGTTTCTTGGGAATGATCTTGGCTGAATGTGTGTCTTAAAAGATGATGCTTTATTGTTACAATCTGGTATCTGAATGGATTTTTGAAGAATTGCACAATCTTGCAGTTAAAAGTTGGGTTTAGGTAATTGTTTAGTTTATGATTTCAGATAATTCATACCAGAGAACTTAAATACATAGGATGAAAAACTAAAGAACTCTACTTCCAAGTTGGCAAGCAACTTCTCAATCATTCAGTTTTTCACCAATTTTTGAATTGGGTAGCCTGTGGGAAAATGTCATTGTGTGTACCAGTGCATTAATTTGGACAAGGACAGTAAATCATAGTCTGGTATCTGTTGACAAAACAAGATGTAAAGATATAAAATTTTGTGAATTGTATCTTAAACTTGTATCATAATTTTCAACATACGAACCTGAAAATTATGACTTACGGCTAAAATGCTTTAGGCCTGAGGTGTCTGCTCAGAATTGCAGTTTATCCCTGCTTCTTCCAGACCTCATCCAGGATTTATGTTGAAATGCAAATGAAAGAAACCTGCAAGATCAGTAGGAGACTGATCTGAGGCCTAAGGGGAAAAAAGGTAAACCAGTTACTGACCAGTTATTTTTTCTAGGACTCTTGTTTTTTTTTTCTTAGATTCTGTATTTTTTTTTTTTTGAGCTCATGATTTTGATCCCACAGACCTAGGTTAATGTTTTCCTGATCAGTTCTATCTTTGATCAATTGTGGAGTTTTAAACATTGCAATGGAGATTTCACCTTGCAAAAAGCTACAAGGCCTTTACTATTCTTATGTGTGCAAACTTGTGTTTTGTGTTGTATGTCTATATGGACATATGATATACAAATTAACATATATAAGGAGCGCTCATAAAGAATTTTTAAAAGTTGATCCAGAAATCTTTAGTTCATGTGATTTAAATGGTTCAATTTAAATTGGAGAAACAGATAAAAATAAATGTCTTTAAATTTAAGCTTACAAGTTTTTCCTAGGTGTTCAAAAAACTAATAAAATATTAATGTCTATGAAATATATAATATGCCTTGGTTCTAGGTCTTTTCCTTCAACAAGGAAAAAATGGCTAACACTGTACAATACACTTGTCTAATATTTTGATAAAATAAGTAAAGTAAATATGATATGGGATTACTCATTCATGAGTACTTTTGTTAGACATCTTATTGATTTTCTAAAGTCTGTATGAGTTTGTTTTTACAATCAGTCATGTTAAAAAGACAAAAATTTCTTAAACATAAGTTTACCCATAACGTTGTGTTTATTAAGTTTTTTTTTCCTAGAGCAAGAAATCATGAAAATTAAACAACTGGTTAAATAAGAACCGTTATTTTAAAGCATTGTACTATCATTTCTTTAAAAGCTAAACTTAGTTAATATAAAAATATCAGTGTAATTGTGATGCAATTAATGTGCTCATATCTTCCAGATATACAAGTCTATAAGGTAGAAGCTTTAAAAACATTATATCAAGCTGGTGTTCTAAAGTTGTATGGTAATTTTAAGCTTAAAAAATATATTGGGGATTTATTTACCTGTTATCAATAAGATATATAAAGTTTTATATTACTTTTTATATTGGGGAACAATTTAAATATATTTTTAATTTGATAAGAGCCTAATCTATGTAAAGGTTAATATTGTAAAGCACAAAGTATTTTGCTACCTTTCCACAAAAGGTTAAAAAGTTTCAGCTTTTATTTAATTCATGTTTTAAATGCGATATCATATGGTGTTAGCTAATGTTCATGTGACCTCAAACAATTTATGTAAATTTTGTAAAATTATATTTAAAAAACAAAGATAAGCCTTAGAACTAGAACACTTAAGATTTATGAAGAGCCCTGCCTTATCTGAGATAAGGCTCTATGTCCCATCTTACCACATGTGAGAATGACTACAAAAGCAGTAGGCCAGATTTTAGTTCATTTAAAGTTATGTTCAAAAGTTGTTTTCTTCTGTCAAGATTACTAGGATCTCAAACAGGGGATATAATGTATACCAAACTTCAGGGTAGCTTTTACACAAACTAAATGTTTTTACGCTTGTTAATTTTATTTTGTAATTTCCTTATAAATGATCTAAAGATTCCCTGGCAGTGTCTTGCAGAGGTGTTGCTTTAAGAACACAACCTGGGTTAATTTAAGATAATAAGCCATCACCTACAAGACAGAATAGGATAATACAGATCCCAATTAATAAAAAAAGATAAATAATTATAATGTTATAGACATTAAATCCAAATACTCTTAATATAAGGCTGTTAAAATTTATTTGCTGGATGTTTAAGATTAAGTTTTAAAATTAAAGTTAAATTAAAAGGGCCAAAAAATCCAATAATTGGCTCTTGCCCTCTGAGTCAGTCTAAATCCAGGGAAGAGGGGATTTCTCTAAAGAGCTTTGCAACTCTAGGCCACATAACCTCACGATCAGGGGGATTAATGAGACCACTGGTGAACAGAAAGCCAATCAGTACATTTGGTATGAAGAGGAGGGTCATCAGAGAAGGAAGACATCCCTGATGCTTCCAAGGGAAGCCACATGGTCAAGCAAGACCTGGACCCATCCTAGCTCAAATGGCACTAGCCGAACTGAGAAGCTGCTCTCAAGTTTCCCCAGAAATGACTACCATTAAAACTCAGCTGATTGTTAACAATACATAAAAACAAAAGTCAATTTGACTGCTTCATCTTAAACATATAGCAAAGACATTAAAACCAAAACACAGCCATTCCTGGGCATTTTAAATAATAACAATAATAATAATAATAATAATAATAATAATAATAATAATAATAATAATATTTAAGGTATACACTTCATGTTAGTCTCACAAAATAAGTAATACTGGAGGCTACAAAGAAGGATTATCAGAGAGAAATGCCTGATAACTATAAAAAGAGGCTATCTAATGTATGAAATATGATATGTCAAGAGCTTTGTAATGTTGTGAACAACCAATAAAAAAATAAAAAATTAAAAAAAAAAGAGGAGCTTCCAGAGACAGAAGTTTTTAGTTTAAGACCTACAGATATTCCTAACCTATACAGGTAGGCTTGGTGTTTTCTAGTATGATTATTCAGCCCTGAGTAACAGAATTAAAGGTTTCTCTATTAGACACAGCGGTCATACTAGTAAAAGGATTGTGCATGATCAGATGATATTATTAAACTGTATCATATGGAAAAGGACATCTGTAACACTAAAAGTTTAATGATGTGTTTACATTCCTGATAATTTTAAAATGGTTAAAAATTTACATTTCTATATAAAGGCCTTGTCCAATCTGGCTTTATTATGGAGACAGCTTCTCCTGGTATGTATGTATGTATATATATATATATATATTAACTTCTCAGCCCTCACACCTCCTGGTGAGGGAACTTTGATACAGTGACATGTTCCAGCTGCTGCAACATTTATTCAGTACTCATGGTTTTTGTTTCTCTCATAGAAGCACCATCCCCAAGATGACTTCACAACCTGTTCTTCCCCAACCAGACTCCAAACCAAAATGAACTCTAAAAGGAAACTCATGTCGCTCACGCCATGCCCCCTTATGTCACCCCCTCTCAGCTCAGAAGAAGCCAAAAGGAGCAACGCCCCTCTTCTTACAAAAATGGAGCAAAAAATAAATAGACTATCAATATAAGTAATTAATTAAGTCAGATCAAATCAGGGAGATCAATTTTGGTTTTGTTCAAAAAAAGTTGGAGACTGTTACTTGAGGAATTAAAATTCCCTCAGTGCTCTTCCCCTACCCTATAAAAGATTTGAAAGGGACACATAAGAAAATGGGGGAATGATAGACCCAACCAGATCTTTTCTAAAAATTGGGAGTCATCTCGCCACAAAGCCATGAAAAGATAATTTTGGCTTTAGTATACATTACTACAAATTCTGAACCTGCTTGGAATGCCTGCCCATGCCTTGAACTCACTCATGTCTGGCTCTCTGACCAGAAGCAGCCCACTCTGAAACTTTAGTGACGCCTCACAAATCTTGGCCTTCCATGGCAAGATAATGACCCTCTCTGAGGCTCTAATGACCTTCATAAATTCTGCTGTCAGGCCAGCATAAATTGAAACAACCATTAGTGTTATGCTCTTCAGAGTTCTGTTATCTGTAACCCACCTTTGTGTAACTTTCTGGGCTATAAAGCTGGGCTGCAGGAAAGCTGCTGCTGCTGTCTTGTTTCTGCAGATTTGAGTAGGAGAGGCAGCATGGTCAGTTGAAATAATAAGCTTGCTTATATTTGAATTCATTTGGAATCAATGGTCTTTTCTTGCATCTTGGTCTAAGAGTACATATATTGCACCAAAAACCATGAGCCTGTTTGGAGAATGGCCAGAATTCAGGAAGAATACAGGAACGTAGTAAGATAGTTGATGTTGTCCATCGATAAGGCAAGCCAAAGTCCATTCCAATGAACATGAGGCAGCAGTGCTGAATCCTCTCTTTGTAGGTAAACTGTGGCCACTGGGGGCTAAGTGTCTCCCTGTGTAGACTGTGAAGCCATTTGTTCGTCCACCAATTTTCATGGTGTTTCTTGCAGCTGAACTGGGAGTTTGGTATTTGCTTCAAGAACTACAAGGAATATTCAACTGACACAGAGCTGGAGGGAGTTCTGTCATGTGTGGTGGGTCAGGGTCTGCAGAAGAATGCACCAACCAGGCTGCTATCCCCTACAGCTTGCCCCCTTGACCATAGCAACCTGATTCTGAACATTGCCCTGAAACCTCTCCACATAACAAGTTGTATTTACATATAAGGATCTGCTGGCTGCACCATGTCAGTCACAAGTCATTTGGAAGTCAATGGCAGAGTCACATGGCCCCACCACAGATGTTTTATCACACACCTACACTCCACTGCTCCAGGCCCACCTATCAGCAGGCTCCAACTCACTGGAATCTCTATTCTACACCATTTTCATGAAATCCAGTCAATCAAGGCACTATCTGGTACAGTCATGATCAGCAACAAGACATCCAAAGGTTCTCCAGTGCCTCCTGGACATGGGAATTTCAAAAATTTCATGGTATTTATCTAGCCATATTTAAAAGATACAGTATGAAGCACTGTGGGTTTCAATTCATTCAGGAACCATTAAATGGTAAGGAATATCATTTCAGTGAAAGTTCTGGAGAACTCTCACAGGCAAGTCTTCCCAAAGAGTGGCCAAAAGGTCATATGAAGCCAAGCCCATTGAGGTGTACCATGTGAGGTCCATGTGTGTTTTGACTCTCAACTATGGCTGCCAAGTCTTTAAGAATAAAATCATATGATATCCTGGCTGAGATTCCCAGTGCTGTGTGGAAAGACACCCTGGGCCTAGATCTCAGTTTCCATGGACAACTCTCATGCATGGCCTCCTAAAATCCCAACACAATTCATGGCAATACTTCTCTGAGGTCAGTTCCAGAACTCAGTCTGCAAAACAATTCACACCACAGTTCAAGCTGAGGTTGACAGAGTCATCTCTTCCAACCACCACACAAATGACCACAATTAAAACCAAAACACTCCCACATGGCCCTCATCTTCTTC